TGGTCTGATCAATAATCCTGGATCTTTTCATGTTATCTATATGAACTAGTCTGATCAATAATCCTGGATCTTTTCGTGTTATCTATATGAACTGGTCAGATCAATAATCCTGGATCTTTTCGTGTTATCTATATGAACTGGTCAGATCAATAATCCTGGATCTTTTCGTGTTATCAATATGAACTGGTCTGATCAATAATCCTGGATCTTTCCCTGTTATCTATATGAACTGGTCTGATCAATAATCCTGGATCTTTTCGTGTTATCTACATGAGAGCAGGTGTTGTCCTAAAACTTGTAGATCCTTTATTTTTTGCATTAATGTTGTCTTTCCAGATGTGCAGGCTACCCCTGCTATAGGCACTCATGCACCCCCATACCATCAGAGAGGGACTGCGTGCTGACAACCTCTCCCCTTTAGTACCGAGGACGTTTCTAGAAAGAACGTGAGATGTTGACTGATCTCAGAACAGTTTTTTGCTTCAGTCGTTTTAAATGAACTTTGACCCAGAGAAGATGGCGGCCCTTCTGAGTGGCTTCTTTTCCCTGAATGAGTTGGACCCTGCACTCGTACAGCAGATTGTGTTTATAGACCATCTTTAGAGGCCGTGCTCCTGCAGTGCTGCCGCACGGCCCAAAGATCACGCATACTCCATCTTGACCTTTGACCTCACAGATTTCTACAGATTATTTTAATCTTTTAAAGATATTATGAACTGGACATTTTCAGTCTGGCAAACCGCTGCTTATCTTTGTTTCTGACAGATTACGCTTCTTTAAATTGTTTTTTTTAACCCAGTCTTCTTTTTAGATTGTAGCCAGTTAACATTTTTAATTTATCAAATGTTGCTCTAGCTGTTCCTTATTCTTATGGTTTACCTTTTCCACCTTGTGTTGCCCCATCCCAGGTCTGACATGTGACATGTGACACGTGACATGTGACATGTGCTGCTGCCAGTAAGTCAAATTTATGAGTTAATGTTTTACCATCATTTAGGCTGTTAATAGTTTATCTGAGACTTTTAGCTTGCTTTCAGATAAATAAACGAGCTACATTAAAATGACATTTTACTGTCCATTTGTTTCATGAGTGTCAAAATTTTAAAGTAGAATAAAATAACTGATGGACTGGAGACCTGTCCAGGGTGTCTGGATGGATGGATGGATGGATGGATGGATGGATGGATGGATGGATGGATGGATGGATGGATGGATGGATGGATGGATGGATGGGCACAATCTTACATCTTTACATTTACAAGCTTCAGCATCTTTTTCAAGACAAAAAGCAAAGATGAAACTGGTTTAAGTCAGTAAGAGAAACTTGTTGCTACTTTTTAACACTATTTTTTTTACTACTTTAAAAAAATATTCATTCTAACAGAATCAAAATTAATCATTTTGATTTTCAGTATCTACAGTAAATAAAACTAATAGTTTTAGTTATTAAGTTTGTATTAATAAAAAAATCAAATCAAATAATAAAAAAGGTTTGTAAGCTCAATAATCAGGTAGATAACAATAACGATTAAATCATCTGTAAAAAAAAAAATGTCCAGATGTCATGATTTAACTATTTTTGTCTAAATTGTTTAATACTTAATCAAGTTCTTGTTTTTGTCATTATCACCTGTGAGTTCGTTGTAACAAAATATCTCATGGAGCGGTGGACGGATCAAAGGAGACATAAAGTAATCAATACATTGATGGATATATCCATGTGGTAGTAGCTGAGAGTCGTCCTCAACACTCTGACCTCGCTCTAATGCATAAGATTGAAAATAATCTGGTTGTTCAGGTTCACACAAGCAGTTTGTGACTAAAGGAACTTTTAGTTATGCATCTAATGACAGTTTGTCTCGGATTATCGCTGCATTTCAAAATCATTTTAACATCTTAATTAAAAAATAATAAATTGAATGATGTGAAAACCCAAGAAATGCAAAGTTGAAACAATTTCCTGTTGAATGAAACAATCGTTTCTCATGAGGATCAGTGGTTTCAGAGGCGTGACACACGCTCAAACCCTACGAGCTCAAAGCTTCTGCTGCTCCTCACAGTAAAGTTGGGCCTTTGGTGGAGCAGTTGATCGTGGGGAAGCGCCTGCTGTCCATATCCCAGGGGCAGAGGGGCTGCTGGGGGGCGGGCGGTACACCGGGGGTGCAGTGGTTGATGTAGCTGGCCATGAGCAGGGTCAGCTCCAGCACCTGAGAGCAGGCAGTGCAGAGTGTGATTCAACTAGTTATTGGACTCCGTGTAAACCAAGTCTGCACGGACAACAGCGTCTGGTTCCTCGAGTTGTGTACAAACGGTTTTCTTCATAACTGCATTTCTGTTTTAATGTACAAACCTGTGTTTTCTTCTCCTGTCAGCACAAAACAAGTTCAATAAAAAGTAATTCAAGCCAATTAAACGATCTTCGACAGGATTCTAAACAAGCTTTAGACTGAGGGAAACTCATTTTATGTCGGTCGGCAGGTTCTCCCAGTTACTCACCTGCAAAGTGAGCGAGTAAAACTATTTAACGACGTCAGAGTGCTTGTTAACCCGTTTCCATGGCAACGCAGGATCATTGCTTTACCTTCTGGACTTTAAAACTGCGTGGACGCAGGTCGGACGTTTAGCAACTTGTTCTTATAGTTTGATCAGAAACAAATCAAGAGACAAGAACTTGCGCAGGCGGGTGGAGAAGGTCGGTGCTCGTTAGTTTCTGCAAGTTGTCTACGTGACATAATGAATAATTAATGAATGCTAATTAATGCTGATGAATGTTTAGTTTTCATTTTGCTCTACAACTGTGCATGTGACTGTGGGCGCAGACGTGTGTGTTTCAGATCAACTGTTTCGAGAAGTCTCTAACGAGCGATGAAGTCGTCCCTTGTCTCGTTGCTGATAAAGATTTGGAGGGAGAATAGATTCACCAGACCGCAGGGACATTTTGCTGCTGAGGTGGTGCAGTGGTGGATCCTGGCGAGCAGAGGGACCAATTCCACCCGCCAGGAGCAATGGTGGCACCAGAGGGTGGACAATGGTGGCCTTGGCTGCCATAGATTAATATTTGGCCACCCCAATCATCTGAGGAAACTATACATTCGAGCAACATAAAGGTAGAAAGTGTAGTTTCTCAAATGGTCGGTGGCTGATTTATACTTATGTGGTGGTGGCCATCTTGGATTTTGATGTGGCAACCCCATTTTTGATAGCAGCCTTTCTTACACCAAGGTGCATCCACATACAGAGCTAAAAGACAAAACGTTGCTTATATTCTCTCAGCACGTTTCAGAAGTTTTATTCAAAATGAGCTGAAAGTTTTACAACTATGGGATGATAATCCCGTTACACATCTGCTTCAACACGCTGTCGTTAAGTCTCCTCTGAGGCGTGCAGGACGCTCACCTTTGGTTTAGCCATAGCAAAGACGAGCTTCTCCGCATTTCGTTTCCCATTTCCAGCCTCCCCCTGCTGGTTTGTGACCACCATGAAATCGTCACGGCAACCACCAAAAGTAATCACCGAATGGTAGGGGTAGGTGACCAAGGTGTGCTGAGAAAAGTAGGAGATTTGTAGGAAGAGGGAGAAAACACAACGGGGTCAGATTGTGCAACATTTGGGACGTCACTGGTTTCTGGTGAGATCAGCAGAAGCTTTGAAACAGTGACTAAACTTTCTGTCTTACGTGCTGAGAGCAAGAGAATTAAATTATTACGTGATTAAACTAGTGTGCTGCTAATTGTAACTTGTGACAGTCTTTGTTTTTTCAGCTTTTAGTGTCCATGTTGTTTTAGAGGGCCCACTCCGTTTCAGAGGCTTTCAGGAAACACCTTTATTCATCCATCAATGTCCTGACCAGTGACTAGTGAGTTGGTAGAGCTGCTGCCTCTCAGCAAGAAGGTCGCTGGATCAAATCCCGGACTGGGACCTTTCTGTGTGGAGTCTGCATGTTCTCTCCGTGCATGCGTGGGTTTTCTCCAGGTACTCCGGTTTCCTCCCACAGACCAAAAACATGCATGTTATGATGGGTATGGGTCCCTGTGATGGACTGGAGATCTGTCCAAGTGTCCCTGTGATGGACTGGAGACATGTCCAGGTGTCCCTGTGATGG